CTCACCTTCACAGACCTGTGCATGTGTGTCTGTGCACACCCCACACTAAGAAGTACAGCGCGGGCACACACACACACACACATACCACACATGCATACTAAGTGCATATATGTAGTGTATAACTTGGTGTCTGCGGGTGTTTGAAAGGACCCTGCCCTCACCCCAGCCCGGACACATGTTGGCTCATTTCCATCAAGTTCACAGAAATAAGGTTGACCGAGAAGGATTGGACACTTAGGTGGTGTGGGAGCTCCAGCCCCTTTTGCCAGCCTCAGCTCTGCCAGAAACGGTTGATGGCTGTAAACGAGGCCAATGGTATCTTCAAGTTCCTGAATCTCAGCCTTGTGGGGCGCCTGTACCCCCATCCCTTCTATTTCTATCCCCGCTCAGATGTGCTTAATTATCTAGTTAATTGCTTAGCTCACTCATTAAAAAGCACATAATTAGCGCAGGGGGGAGTAGGGCGATGCCTGGTGTGGGCAGGAGCCTGGAGAAGTGCAGGGGGAGAAGAAGGAGCGAACATGTCTGCGCCTTGACTTTGAGCAGCCCAAGACCCTGCCTGGAGCCAACACCAATGCCCGGGGACCCCAAGTCATCAAGAAAACAAGCTATGTTCAGGCTGCCTGGTTTCAAAAACAGATTTTCAAGAACCTGGAAAATAGCTCGCAAAACTAGGCATGCAACCTCAAAGGCTCTCCACACAAGAATGTGTAGATGGAGATACTAGCCAGAAACACGCAGTTAGCCGTGACTATCAGGCCGGGTGTGGTGGCGCATGCCTGTAATCCAGCACTCAGGAGGCTGAGGGGGGAGAATCCTGAGTTCCAGGCCAGCCTGAGTGACACAGTGAAGCCCTGTCACAAAAGAAAACAAAAACCAACATCGCTCCAGCAAACGAAACAATGCCCACAAAGAACACAGCTTGGGAGCTGGCTCAGTTAGATAGGATTTCTGTGCAGGGGTGAAGGCCGGCCGGCATTTTGATTCTAGAACACTTGTAAGAGCTAGGCACAGTGGCCACGTGGCCGGCTAATGCTTGGGTGGTGGAGACGGCTCCCTTGAGCTTTCTGGTCAGCCAGCTTAGTAGAAACAGTGAGCTCCAGGTTCAGTGAGAGACCCTGTCTCAAAAGATGAAGGAGAGTAGGCAAGTGTGGGGACTCAGCCTTTAATCCCAGGAGCCAGAGGCAGATGGATCTCTGTGAGTTCAAGGCCAGCCTGATCTACAGAGCAAGTTCCAAGACAGCCAGGGCTACACAGAGAAATCCTGTCTTGAAACACAAACAAACATAAGCGTGCGCCCTTTCCAGTTCACACTGTCTGCCTCCTCCTGTGGTTCAGGCCGTGAGCCACACCTTCTGTCCCAGCCCCTGTTCTGCTTCCTGCCATGAAGGACTCATCCCTCAGGACCGTGAGACAAATAAACCCTTCATTCTATAAATTGCCTTGGTCATTGTGTTTATCACAGCAATAGAGAAGTAACTAAGACAGACGCAGAGGCAGGGGGATCTCTGTGAGTTCAAGGCCAGCCAGGTCTACATAATGGTTCCACGCCAGTCAGGGCTACAGAGTGAGACCCTGCCTGAAAAATGTAAAAATATTTTTTAAAAAGGCTGAGGAGCCAAGGAGCTGGCTCTGCAGTTAGGAACACTTGCTGCTGTCCCAGACAGAGGTCCCCACTCAGTTCCCACACCAGGTGGGGCGGCTCACAACTGCCCCAAACTCCAGCTCTAGGGGATCAGATGCCCTCTTCTGGTCTCTGAGGGCACCCACGTATTTGTGGCATACACATAATTTAAAAAAACATGATGGAGAACTACAGAAATACCTGATGTCAACCTCTGGCCTCCACATACTGTGCACACACACTATACACATACACACACACACACACACACACACACGCTCTATCACACACGTGTACGTACATATACAAACTCACGCAGACACTATACACACACTATAACACATATACACACTATACATATACTATATATACACATATTATACATATGCACATACTACAATACATGCATACACATACTATATACACACAAACACACTACCCATATTGTACATACACCACACATACTATATATATCCACATATACTATACCACAACACACATATATATGCATATACATACATTCACATGCACTCAAACACATACACACATGCACACACTATACACACATGAACACACTATATACATGTACTTGTATACATACATATGCATATACACATGCACACATACACACTATACATACACTCATGCACACACTATACATACAGAGACATGCTATACACACAGATATACACATGCAAACACATACTGTTCATATACATGCACACACATATGCACACATACACACATACACTCACACTATACCTGCATACACAGTGTTTTAGGCATTCTGAGTAATTCTTTTTAAAGTCCACCTGACTTGAATTTCTTTTTCTTACATTTGAGACAGGGTCATATGTACCCCAGGCTAGCCTTGGAGGGTTTACATGCTGAAGGTTTTTTCCTCTGCCCTCTGGTGTGCTGGGATTATTACTCCTGCTTCGTCCATCAGGTCTTTCAATGACGTCCGTTTCCTCAGGGGTTGTTTTTGTCTCTAGAGGTGATCAGACCATGTTCTATGACCCGTGTCCGAGAAGCCCTCTGTGGGTGTGTGCTGACTTCTGTTGGTTCCCTGGTGCTGGAGGCTGGGATGGCGAGTGTGTGCTGACTCCAGCCGTGAGCTTAGCCCCCTTCGCAGAGAGGTTCTGCGGCTTTCCGTGGGTCTCAGGCCATAGCACGCTTTGTGTGGTGGTTGCTTGGCTGTGGCCGCAGCTTTTTAGGGAAAACTCCCCTGCAGCTGGGGCTCTGGTGATCAAGGAGCCTCTTGGTTGCCTTTTTTGTTTTGTTTTGTTTTGTTTTGTTTTTTTTTGTTTTTTTGAGACAGGGGTTCTCTGTGTAGCTTTGTGCCTTTCCTGGATCTCACTCTGTAGACCAGGCTGGCCTCGAACTCATAGAGATCCGCCTGGCTCTGCCTAAAAAATTTTTTTAAAATTTGTTTTATGCATGTGGGTGTTTTGCCTGCTTGTGTGTCTGTGTACTGTGTGCTTGCCTGGTGCCTGCAGAGGCATCAGATCCCCTGGGACTAGAGTTACAGACAGCTGTGCGCCCCCTTGTGGGTGCTGGGAATCAAACCCGGGTCTGCCAGAAGATCAGGCAGTGCTTTTAACTGCTGAGCCATCTCTCCAGTCCAGTCCCGTCCCTGTGTCTCCGTCTCCCTCCCCCTCCCCACTTCCTTACTTCGGGAGACAGGTTCTCACTATGGATGGCCTGGAGCTCACTTTGTAAACAAGGCTAGTCTCAAACTCAGAGAGTATTGAGATTAAAGGCATGCACCACCAGACCTGACTCTTTTAATCTATTCTCATTCTCTCTCTGTCTCTCTCTGTCTCTCTCTGTCTCTCTTCTCTGTCTGTCTCTGTCTCTCTGTCTCTCTGTCTCTCTGTCTCTCTGAGATTTATTTATTTATTATGTATACAGAGTTCTGCCTGCATGTTTCCCTCCAGGCCAGAAGAGGGCACCAGATCTCATTACAGATGGCTGTGAGCTGCCATGTGGTTGCTGGGAATTGAACTCAGGACCTTTGGAAGAGCAGCCAGTGCTCTTAACCACTGAGCCGTCTCTCCAGCCCCTTAATCTATTCTCTAAAAAAAAAAAAAGGCTTATTTTGTGTATCGAGGGTATACCCATGCCACAGTACATGTGCAGACATCAGAAAACAGCTTGTGGGAATTGGTTGTCTCCTTCAACTGTGCAGGTCCTGGGGACTGAGCTCACGTTGTCTTGCTTGGTGACAAGCGTTGTTATCTGCTAAACCATGTCACCAGCCCTCTAATCCGCTCTTTACTTAAAGATGGTTCCTTTGGAGTCTCGGTTTTTCAAATGAGAGGTTGCCTCACCTCTGAGTCTTCCTTGGATAGTCACGTGTGCACGCACACCCGTGTATGTGTGTGTTAGTGGTGGCAGGGAGCAGAGGCACGTGAGTAAGGAGAGAGGTCAGAGTAAAGAGCTGCAGATTGAAGTCCCCGGACTGTCCCCCGGGGCGCCTGTTTGACTCGGGAATAGAAACTTGAACAGTTCACCTGCTTCACCTTCGGGAGGCTCTGTGGGGGCTGTTGTCATTTTAAAACTGGTGTGTGTGGTGGGGAGGAGGAGATGGGGAGGTGGGGAGGTAGGAGGGGGGAGATGGGAGGTGGGAGATGGGAGGTGGGAGATGGGAGGTGGGAGATGGGGAGGTGGGAGGTGGGAGATGGGGAGGTGGGGAGTTGGGGAGGTAGGAGGGGGAGGTGGGGAGGTAGGAGGAGGGAGATGGGGAGGTGGGAGATGAGATGGGGAGATGGGGAGGTGGGAGATGGGGAGGCCGGAAGACAGCCTTGAGTGTCATTCCTCAGGCGCCCTCTACTTTTAGGCAGTCTCACTGTCTGGAACTTCACACAGTAGACTAGACTACCAGGCCACCGAGCCCCAGGCCTTCGCCTGCCGCCCCCCATTGGGTGCTGAGACCGCGAGGGTCTCTGCCTCCTGGGTGCTGGGAGGAAAGGCCTGAGCCCAGGCCGCCCTCCCTAGAGGTGCGGGCTTGGGGCGTCTGTCTCCACTCTCCTCTCTCAGCATTGCCCTCTCCTGGCTCCCCGTGGGTAAGTGACTTCAGAGTTGTGGTTGTCCCAGCCATCCTCTCCAGGCTGAATGTTTCTAAAGTGCAGGGCAGGGCTGGAGAAATGGCTTGGGGCTGAGAGGACTGACCGCCCCTCCCACCAGCCCCAGAGGATCTGACGTCCTCTTCTGGTCTCTGAGGGTTCTACACTTGTGCACAAACCCCCCACAGGCACACACACGTGCACGTAATTTAAAAGTGAATGTGAAAGCGTAGCAATGGCAGATGTCATTTGATTGCAACTGGATAGAAGGCCCACCACCTTTCCGTTCCTGTCTCTGTCCCCTATAGCTCTGCATCCGGGCCGCCTGTCCGTGTGTCATCGCCTCAGACCCGCAGGATGGCCGCCAACAAGGGCAAGAGCCAGGGCTCCCTGGCTCTTCACAAGGTCATCATGGTTGGCAGTGGAGGGGTCGGCAAGTCGGCGCTGACGCTTCAGTTCATGTATGACGAGGTAAGAGATGCCGCACGCCCTCCCGAGGGACTGTGCCCGCTGCGTCATCGTGTGTGGCCGCTTCGGCTGTGTTCTGCGTCCACTTCCCCATTTGTCCTTGGAGTTTTCAAATAGCTTCGGGGGAGGAGTCTCAGCAGAAGATTCCAGCTGCTGATACAGCGGTGATTTTAGCTGAGGTGGGAATGGGAGGCGCCTCTCCACACACTGTGTTATCAGTGTTCTGGGTGCTTTCTTTGTGATGGGAGCACTCGAAGAGAGAGGTCTCTGTATAGGTGCTAGAGCTTAAGTTTTTATTATTTTAATTTATGTGTATGTGGAAAAATGAGTATGTGTGGGGTGTGTAGAAGAGTGTAGTTGCCTTCAGAGGCCAGAGGAGGGCGTCAGATATCTGAAGTTATAGGCAGTTGTGAGTTGCTCAGTGTGGGTTCTGGGAACCAAACTCCTGTTAGCTCCAAGGGCAGCAGGTACTCGGCACTGGGCCATCTCTCCAACTCCAACTCTATTTTTTTCCCCCTGAGACAGGGTTTCTCTGTGTAGTTTTGGTGCCTGTCCTGGAACTCACTCTGTAGACCAGGCTGGCCTTGAACTCAAAGAGATCTGCCTGGCTGTGGCTCCCGAGTGCTGCAATTAAAGGCGTGCGCCACCTCTGCCCGGCCCAACTCTAATTTTTCAAAGACAAAGTCTCAAATGGCCCAGGCTGGCTTAGAACTCACTGTGTAGCCAAGGATGACCTTGAACTTCTGATCCTCCCGCCTCCCCTGCTGGGTTGATAGACGCGTGCCACCTTTTACCTGGTTTGTGCGGCTCTGGGGATGGAGGGGCTTTAATGTGTGAGAGGTGAGCGCTCTACCAGCTGAGCTACTCCCCGGCCTCAGGTGCTGTGGTTTGGGCCTTGAGTGTCTCCCAAGGGGTCCTGTGCTGAAGAACTTAGCCTCAGCCTACAGCACCTTAGGAAGCAGAGTTCAGCCGGAGGAAGTCAGGTCACTGGAAGTGTCCTTAGAAAGAGGCATTGGCATCCCAGCCCCATCCTGGTTTTTCTCTGCTGTGTGGTGAGGCAGATGCGTCACCATCATCTGCCTCACCACAGGCCCCTAAGAAGTGTGGAGCGAAATCTCTAAAACCATGAGCCAAAGTGAATCCTTTCTCTTTCATTAATTCTGTGTGTGTGTGTGTGTGTGTGTGTGTGTGTGTGTGTGTGTGTGTGTTTGCTCAGCTCTCTTCCTCCAGTGTGGGAGCCGCAGGGACGGAGTTAGGTTGTCGGGTTTAGTGGCGAGCACCGCTGTCTCCCGGCCCCCAGTTTATTTCTCCTTTGTTGCTTGTGCTCTGGTGCCAGGCCTGAGCATCCTTCACCAGGGCCGGGCTCACGAAGGGTTGCTCCCGTGTGTCCTGAGTTTCCATTTTAGGTCATATCTAAATCATGGCTGTTTTGAGTTAGTCCTTACGTTTTACATGCACCGCGTAAGAAGTCCAGTTATACCCTCTCTCGTGTTCTCCAGTTCGTCTCATCTGCTTAGCTGTTATTTTTTCTTTCCTTTTTGTGAAAAAAAAAAAAGATTTATTTATTGACATGTATCTGTGTTCGGGTATGTGACATTTACATGTATCTGTGTTTGGGTGTGTGACATTTACGTGTATCTGTGTTTGGGTATGTGACATTTGCATGTATCTGTGTTTAGGTGTGTGACATTTATGTGTATCTGTTTGGGTATGTGACATTTACGTGTATCTGTGTTCGGGTATGTGACATTTACGTGTATCTGTGTTCGGGTATGTGACATTTACGTGTATCTGTTTGGGTAAGTGACATGTGTATCTGTGTTCGAGTATGTGACATTTATATGTATTTGTGTTCGGGTATGTGACATTTACGTGTATCTGTTTGGGTATGTGGCATGTGTATCTGTGTTTGGGTGTGTGACATTTACATGTATCTGTGTTCGGGTAAGTGACATTTATGTGTATCTGGGTATGTGACATTTATGTGTATCTGTGTTCGGGTATGTGACATTTACATGTATCTGTTTGGGTATGTGACATTTACATGTATCTGTGTTTGGGTGTGTGACATTTACATGTATCTGTTTGGGTATGTGACATTTACGTGTATCTGTTTGGGTATGTGACATTTACATGTATCTGTGTTTGGGTGTGTGACATTTACGTGTATCTGTTTGGGTGTGTGACATTTACGTGTACCTGTGTTTGGGTATGTGACATTTATGTGTACCTGTGTTCGGGTATGTGACATTTACGTGTATCTGTTTGGGTATGTGACGTGGGTACACATGCCTTTGAGAGCCAGAGCGGCTTCAGGTGTGCGGCTGGAGTTTGGGTGGTGGTGAGCCAGGCACCTCGGGTGGGTGCTGGGAACCAAACTCAGACCGTCCGGAAGAGCAGTGAGTGATCTTTCCTGCCGGGCCATCATCTCTCTCCTTTTCAGAAGCTCCTTTTTCTTCTCTTTTTTGGGGGGGTGGGGAGGTACTAGTTATTAAACCTAAGGCTCACACATGCCAGGGTAGCACTGTGACACTGAGCTGTATATATGCCCAGCCATCTTCAAATCTGTAACTTCTTATTTTTAGTTATTTGGCTAATTTATTTACTTGGACTGGAGAGATGGCTCGGTAGTTATGAGCACTGGCTGCTCTTCCAGAGGACTTGGGTTCAATTCCCGGCCCCCTCATGGTGGCTCACAGCTCCAACTCAAGGGGATCTGACATCCCTTCTGGCCTTTCCAGACACCAGCACTCATGTGCACACGTGCGCGCACACGCACAGACACACATGCATATAATAAAAAATAATTAAAATTAATTCATCTATGTTTAATGTGGTCTTATTTTATGTATTTGAGTATTTTGCTTGTGTGCCTGGCCACCATGGAGGCCAGATGCAGGCGTTGCATCTCCTGGAAGAGATGTGCAAAAGCAGGAAGTCCTCTTGGTCACTCAACCATCTCTCCAGACCTGTTTGGTTTTCTGAGACAAGCTCTCTGTGTGTAGCCTTAGCTGTCCTGGAACTCACTCTGTAGCCCAGGCTGGCCTCTCAGAGATCTGCCTGCCCCTGGGGTTAAAGGTGTGTACCACCACTGGCCAGCTTCTATCTCTCATTTTTTTTTTTTTAAATATTTCAAATTTGTTCCTTGACAGTTTCGTACATGTGTATAATCTATTTGGATCATATTCATTACCTATTACTGTCTCTTATCATACATTATTATACATTCCTCATTACTGTCTCTTACCCACTTCCTGCTCTCACTTCTTAGTCCTAGAAAGTCTCCCATCTATTTTCATGTCTATTTTGTGTGACCCACTGGGTTCAGTTAGGGGGCTGGCATGAGCATCATGGGGGTGTATTTTGAGGCACAGTCTCATTAGATTGCTCAGGCTAGCCCAAAGCTTGCAGTCTTCCTGCCTCAGCTCTCGAGTGCTGGGCCTGGCTGAGAGGGCTCAGTGGGTAAAGCGGTCACCATGCACGTGTTGGGAATCACGTGCAGGCGTGGGCAGTCACCGTGCAGGCGTGGGCAGACACCATGCACATGTCAGGAACCACCATGCAAGCTCGAACCCTAGAGCCTTTGTAAAAGCTGGCTGCACTGGCATCTCTAACTGCAGTACTTCTGTGGAAAGGTCAGCCGTGCAGGTGGGAGACTCCAGAAGCTCCTGGGCCGGCCAGCCCTGTGTGTGTACAGTGGCAAGTAAAAGGAAGAGAGACCCTGACACACACACACACACACACACACACACACACACACACACACACACACACACACACACACACACACACATACACACAGTTTGTTAAAGTCTCATGAATTGGTTCATTTTTTCTGTGTGTCTTCATTACCAAATAAACATTTAGGAAGGCTAATTTGCTTCTGTCTCTCTTTTTAGCAGCTTTTGAATTTGTTGTCTTTGTGGATATATCCTTACCGATCTCTACTCTCTCCAGTGACCCTCTGCAGGACACGCTATAGTCTAGGTTTTTCTCATGCCTGTGGATAGTTCCTGTTTTCCTTTTTGCAGTAGTATAGCATTTTGCTGTGCCGCCCGCTTTTGCTGAGCATTTGAATAGACCGTCTTCTGTGATGCCACTTGGTGCCACGGTGACTTCCACGATTTTGGGGCCAGCATTTCTGAGATTGTATTCCTAGAAGCAGCGTGGTGGTGGGGGTGGAACAGAGGAGAAAGTACTCATTTTACCGGATGTTGACAAATCCTTCTCTGTGGGATGGTCCTGTCCCTGTCCCACAGAGAACAAAAATGTCTCCCCTTAAGCCTGTGTCTCAGAATAGCTGTCTCCCTTTCTCCTGCTCTCTTCCCTCCCTCCCTCCCTCTCTCTCTCCCTCCCTCTCTCCCTCCCTCCCTCCCTCTCTCCTCTCCCCACTTCCTTTTGAGCTAGTGAGGGGGTCCTCTCTCCATCTGTGTGGTCCTGAGGTCCTTTGTTGGATGGTGATGCCTCCCCGGCCCGAGGATGTTAGGGAGGAGAGTGCTTCACACCGTGGTCCTCATCTCATTCTGTCAGCGCTTGTGTTTGCTGGGCTCTCTTGTCTTTCATTCTTGGGAATCTAATTTATCAATTTCTTTTTACATGGCTTCTGGACTTTGAGTCATAGTTAAAAAAGGCCTTCTCTACTTCAAGGTAATAAGGGCCTCACCGGGTCCACTTTCAGTGCTGGACTGAATTTGTTTATTTCATAGTTTACATGTGTACGTGCATGTTCATGTATGCAGATGCATGTGTGTGGGGTGTGTGCATGCATGTGTGTGGGGTGTGTGCATGCATGTGTGTATAGGTGCTTATGTGCCTCTGGAGGTCAGAGAATACCCCAGGTAATGTTCCCCAGTCATGGCCCACCGTGTGTTTTGAGACAAGATCTCTCGTTGCCTGGGGCTCACTGAGTAGGCTGGGCTTGGCTGGCCAGTGAGCTCCAGTGTCCGCCTGTCTTCACCTCCCAGCACAGGGCTTGTAGACACGCACTAACTCCCATGTCTGCCTTTTTTAAAAGATTTATCTTTATTATTTTTTAAGATTTATCTTTATTATTTTTAATTATGTGTACCCGTGTGTAACTGGGTGGGTATGTGCATGCGAGTGCACGTGCTCATACAGGCATTGGACACCCCTGGAGCTGGAGTTACAGACAATTCTGAGACACTCAAGGGTGCTGGGAACTGAACTTGGGTCCTCTAGGCGAGTGGTATGTACTCGTAACTGCTGAGCCATCACTCCGGCCTCTGACTTTTTCTTTTGTTGTTTTTAAATGTAGTATGTGGGGATCGAACTGAGGTCCTCATGCTTGCTCGTCAGCACTTTACCCACTGAACCATCTCCCAGCCCCCTGCTGGTTCCTCTCACCAAATTCCTTCGATATGATTTTTATACTTCTATTCATTATGAATACAGGCTCCCACCTCTCCCCTTTTCCTTGTTTGTACTGCTTCTAATTGTTGAAAGCCTTAAAAGAAGAAAAAATGAACTCAGAGCTATCAAGAAAGGAAGGGTTCTCAAGCATGGAGGGGTTACCTGGAATTCCAGCATTTGGAAGGCTCAGGAGTTCAAGACCAGCCCAAGCTGGTGTGACCTTGTCTCAGAAGGGGAGGGAGGGAGGGAGGGAGGGAGAGAGGGAGG